TATAGCTCATATGGGGCTTAGGGTTGAGGGTTTAGGTTTTAGGGGCTGGGTACATGTAGGGATGTAGAATCACATGGAATGAAGGGGATGCTACAGAGCAACTGCTAGCATGGGGGTTGATGGGGTTAGGGGGGCCTCCCTACACCCTAAACCCAGGGGTTTGTGGTGCAGGGGTTTACGGTTCAAGGGTACCCTAAACCCTAAACCCTAAACCCTAAACCCATGGTTCATGACCAGCATAGTTAGTGCCAGGACCATGCGGTTCTCATCTTACCCTAAACCCTAAACCCCAAAAACCCCAAACCCAAAAACCAAAGCCCCTAAACCCTAAACCAGCTTTTACGGTGAGGATGGGGGAGGTAGCTATGCTCAGCCATAAAAATGACAGTCACAATAGCTGTAATAGTAATAATAGTAATTGTAATTGTAATGGTCATAATCATAATCTCGTGCTTTCGAAGCTGAGGGCTTGCATAAGGAATCCGGGTTGAGGCTCGGGGGCTCGGGGTTTAGGGTTTGGTGTCTAGGGTCTGTAGGGTTTAGGGTTTTGGGGCTTAGGGTTTAGGGGTTTGACGTTTAAGGCTTAGCGGTTAGGCTTGTTGGGATCGAGTCTGGGAAGAGCATCAATCCTTAACCCCAACAAACAATCAACGCTGCAAATCCTAACAGCAACCCCCATTAGGGTTTAGGGGTTTAGGGTTCAGGGGTTTAGGATTACGGGATTTAGGGTTTAGGGCTTAGGGGTTAGGATGAAGGGTTTAGGCCATGCAAGACCCTCTGAAAGGCACCACGAGACCTTTATAATCCTTTCCTTACCACAAGTACGGTGGATACTAAAAATCCTGCATGACCCTAAGTACCCTAAACCTTGGGAATAATGGTATTAACCCTTGCCCACATACATAGCGAAGCCTCTCCGAGACTGTGCCAGGATCTGTCGTCACAGCGCGGAAGTGTGAAAACCTGGACGCCGTAGATTTCGGGCTTCGGGTTTGGGAGTTGTGGGCTTTGGGGGTTGTTGGACGGTTAAGTGTTAGGGCTTTGGGGCAGGGTTGTGGGCTCAGGTTTGCGTTTAAAGCATGGAGGGCGTTTTTTGGACCTGCCGATGTTTGGAGAGCCCGAACCACTAAATTTACGGAAATACTCTAACTCATGTCCGGCATTCTAGGACTACTATAGGGGCCTAGATAATCATCAACTTCCTTTAGAGGTCCATTTGAGGTACCATATACGGGAGTTATACAAGGAATATGGAACCATAAAATTGGTAACTATTTAGGCCCCTATATTACTCTAAATCATGGCCGGCATTCTAGTACTACGTCCCGCCCCCTTATTTGCTGGCCCGCGCGGCAAAACATGCGCGAATTCTGGATCTACTGGCGCCCCGATAGATTGGGGCAAGCATTCTGAATTCCTAAGAAGCACAAGGTCATCGTGGTTTGGGCATGGATTCTCTGGAGTTT